TTAACCTGGCTTCGCTATACGGTCTGGTGACGCCCACGCCCACCCACCCCTCGCCCATGGTGACCCACCTGACGCCCACCCCTCGCCCATGGTGACGCCCACCCCTCGCCCATGTGACACCCACCCTCGCCCATGGTGACGCCCACCCCTCGCCATGGTGACGCCCACCCCTCGCCCATGTGACGCCACCCCTCGCCCATGGTGACGCCCACCCCTCGCCCATGGTGACGCCCACCCCTCGCCCATGGTGACGCCCACCCGTCGCCCATGACGCCCACCCCATGGTGACACCCACCCCTCACCCATGGTGACGCCCACCCTCGCCCATGTGACGCCATGGTGACGCCCACCCTCGCCCATGGTGACGCCCACCCTCGCCCATGGTGACGCCCACCCCTCGCCATGGTTCACCCATGGTGACGCCCACCCGTCGCCCATGGTGACGCCCACCCATCGCCCATGGTGACGCCCACCCCTCGCCCATGGTGACGCCCACCACATGGTGACGCCCTCGCCCTTGGTGACGCCCACCCCTCGCCCATGGTGACGCCCCCCCTCGCCCATGGTGACGCCACCCCTCGCCATGGTGACGCCCACCCCTCGCCCATGGTGACGCCCACCCATCGTCCATGGTGACGCCCACCCCTCGCCCATGGTGACGCCCACCCTCGCCCATGGTGACGCCCACCCCATGGTGACGCCCACCCCTCGCCCTTGGTGACGCCCAATCGCCCATGGTGCCCACCCTCGCCCATGGTGACGCCCCCTCGCCCATGTGACGCCCACCCTCGCCCATGGTGACGCCCACCCATCGCCCATGGTGACGCCCACCCCTCGCCCATGGTGACACCCACCCTCGCCCATGGTGGACCCCACCCCTCGCCCTTGGTGACGCCATCCATCGCCATGGTGACGCCCACCCCTCGCCCATGGTGACACCCACCCCTCGCCCATGGTGACGCCCACCCCTTGCCCTTGGTGAGCCCACCCCTCGCCCATGGTGACGCCCACATGGTGACGCCCCATCGCCCATGGTTACGCCCACCCTCGCCCATGGTGACGCCCACCCTCGCCCATGGTGACGCCCCCACCATGGTGACGCCCACCCATCGCCCATGTGACGACATGGTGACGCCCACCCCTCGCCTTCATGGTGACGCCCATCCAGCGCCCATTGACGCCCACCCCTCGCCATGGTGACGCCCACCCCTCGCCCATGGTGACGCCCACCCCTCGCCCATGGTGACGCCCACCCCTCGCCCATGGACGCCCACCACGCCCACATGGTGACGCCCACCCTCGCCATGGTGACCCACCCCTCGCCCTTGGTGACGCCCATCCATCGGGTGACGCCCACCCATCCCCGCGCCATGGTGAGCCCACCCTCGGTGACGCCCACCCCTCGCCCATGGTGACGCCACCCCTCGCCCGTGCCATCGGGTGACGCCCACCCTCGCCCATGGTGACGCCACCTCGCCCTGTCGCCCGTGCCCACCCCTCGCCCATGGTGACGCCCACCCTCGCCCATGGTGACGCCACCCTCGCCCATGTGACGCCCACCCTCGCCCATGGTGACGCCCACCCCTCGCCCATGGTGACGCCACCCGTCGCCATGGTGACACCCACCCCTCGCCCCGTCCGCCCATGGTGCGCCATGGTGACGCCCACCCCTCGCCCATGGTGACGCCCATGGTGCCGCCCATGGTGACACGCCCACGCCCACCCTCGCCCATGGTGACACCCACCCCTCGCCCTTGACGCCCAACCCCGACGCGCCATGGTGACGCCCATCCATCGCCCATGGTGACACCCACCCCTCGCCCATGGTGACCCACCCTCGCCCATGGTGACGCCCATCCACGCCGCCTCGCCCATGGTGACGCCCACCCCTCGGTGACGCCCACCAGCGCCATGGTGACGCCCACCCTCGCCCCTGGTGACGCCCATCCATCCCATGGTGACGCCACCCCTCGCCCTGACGCCACCCCTCGCCCATGGTGACGCCCACCCCTCGCCCATGGTGACACCCACCCCTCGCCCTTGGTGACGCCCACCCCTCGCCCAGGTGACGCCCACCCCTCGCCCATGGTGACGCCCACCCCCGCCCATGTGACGCCCACCCCTCGCCATGGTGACGCCCACCCCTCGCCCATGGTGACGCCCACCCCTCGCCCATGGTGACGCCCACCCTCGCCCATACCCACCCTCGCCATGGTGACGCCCACCCCTCGCCCATGTGACGCCCACCCCTCGGGTGACGCCCACCCTCGCCCGGAACTCAAGGTCTTTCATTACTGCGAGCGAGAAGCCCTTTCATTAAAAATCGATCCATCAACGCTCTCCGTCCGCAGAACGAATGGTGTATGTGATAATTAACCCGGACGCAAAAGAGAATATAAATAGTGCGATTTGGAGGTAAACAGAAGTCAGGGTACGAGAGCATGGGCGGTGTAGGAAATGGGAAGGCGTTGGGTGGATAAAAAAAAGGGGGAAAAAAAGA